ATCCTGTGCCGAGAGAGACTCCCAGAGCACTGGTCAGGTAGGGAGAGTGGCAGCAAGATCTATAGGTAGCAGTTATAGGCAGAATCCACTGTACAGCACAGACACCAGGGCAGACACCAGGGCAGACAACAGGGCAGACACCAGGGCAGACAACAGGGCAGACAACCCTACCCTAGTTAAACAATCCTATAGGATTTGTGATTTTTCCAATAGAATCATTTTGTGTCACCTCTATCAGAATTCTATTGGACTACTTTTTTCCTATTGGAAATAAAAAGTAATCATATTGGATCCTATAAGATTCTTGCAGTCCTATAGGATTTTGTGTCACCTGTATCAGAATCCTTTTGGAACTTTTTTTCTTAATTGAACCGATTAAATTATAGTTTGTAGTCATTAGTTCCAGTACAATATAACAGCATTAATTACAACATTTTTGTTGATCGGAAACAACAGTTCTATATTGACTGATGATGTCTGATGATGTCACAGCTATGAGGAGCTTGCAGTGTTAATTAACCTAACTCCCAAATTCAGCTTGCCACTTGTGGCTGTGCAGAGAATCTCAGATTTTTTAACATTATTATTCTAACTGTTTTATCCTTCACTGTGTGTGAATGCATGAACTGTGAGTGCAGCACTTGTTTTCTTATGTTTCCTGACAAAGTTGTCAATGTTTTAGTCATATTGTCGTCGTACAGCATTTTATGCACTAGCCTTTATGCTAGCTAAGAAACTACTGTTAGCCACATTTTGCCTGTCAGCTGACTAGTAGCTAAATTGTAGCCATTTGTATGGTCATTTTTTTGTCACTGTATTGTTATATCAGATGAGAAATGTTTTTTCTTGTTTGTTATTGCTAAATACAGTGTATGTGCCTTATTATAGGCAAGTCAACCCCATTTTCATGAAACTGGAAATATTGTTAACCACTCGTTAGAGGACAACATGCTGAAGACAACCAGCTACATTGTCCTCTAACGAGTGATGTAAACAATATTTCAATACACAGTTTTCATGTGGTTTTTGAGTTGTTAGTTTCAACAGCACATACAACCTGATTTCCCCATAATCAATATGAGTGATTAATTGCAACTTGTCAAAACAACAGGGTTTTTGGTGCAAATGCAGTTTATAAGGTGCTCGTTTAAAAGAATACAAGTAATATGATTACTATTGTTGCATTTTTTATATGGGGGTCATCAAAACGGAATGAGAAATCACTCGTATTGATATCACGTTGAAATCAATAGAATGAGAGGGGGGAGTCGAGTTACACGTCCTGTTCAAACTAACCTTACTAAAAAAACACACAGAATCTGGGAAGTCTGAAGTTTACGTACAACTTAGCCAATTACATTTAAACTCAGTTTTCACGCTTCCTGACATTTAATCAAAGTAAAAGTTCTCTGTCTTAGGTCAGTTAGGATCACCACTTTATTTTAAGAATGTGAAATGTCAGAATAATAGTAGAGAGAATTATTTATTTAAGCTTTTATTTCTTTCATCACATTCCCAGTGGGTCAGAAGTTTACATACACTCAATTAGTATTTGGTAGCATTGCCTTTAAATTGTTTAACTTGGGTCAAACGTTTTGGGTAGCCTTCCACAAGCTTCCCACAATAAATTGGGTGAATTTTGGCTCATTCCTCCTGACAGAGCTGGTGTAACTGAGTCAGGATTTAGGCCTCCTTGCTCAACACACGCTTTTTCAGTTCTGCCCACACATTTTCTATAGGATTGAGGTCAGGGCTTTGTGATGGCCACTTCAATACCTTGACTTTGTTGTCCTTAAGCCATTTTGCCACAACTTTTGAAGTATGCTTGGGGTCATTGTCCATTTTGAAGACCCATTTGCGACCAAGCTTTAGCTTCCTGACTGATGTCTTGAGATGTTGCTTCAATATATCCACATAATTGTCCTTCCTCATGATGCCATCTATTTTGTGAAGTGCACCAGTCCCTCCTGCAGCAAAGCACCCCCACAGCATGATGCTGCCACCCCCGTGCTTTACGGTTGGGATGATGTTCTTCGGCTTGCAAGTACCCCCTTTTTCCTCCAAACATAACGATGGTCATTATGGCCAAACAGTACTATTTTTGTTTCATCAGACCAGAGGACATTTCTCCAAAAAGTATGATCTTTGTCCCCATGTGCAGTTGCAAACTGTAGTCTGGCTTTTTTATGGCGTTTTTGGAGCAATGGCTTCTTCCTTGCTGAGCGGCCTTTCAGGTAATGTCGATATAGGACTGGTTTTACTGTGGATATAGATACTTTTGTACCTGTTTCCTCCAGCATCTTCACAAGGTCCTTTGCTGTTGTTCTGGGATTGATTTGCACTTTTCGCACCAAAGTACGTTCATCTCTAGGAGACAGAACGTGTCTCCTTTCTGAGCGGTATGATGGCTGCGTGGTCCCATGGTGTTTATAATTGCGTACTATTGTTTGTACAGATGAACGTGGTACCTTCAGGCATTTGGAAATTGCTCCCGAGGATGAACCAGAGTTGTGGAGGTCTACAATTTTTTTTCTGAGGTCTTGACTGATTTCTTTTGATTTTCCCATGATGTCAAGCAAAGAGGGGCTGAGTTTGAAGGTAGGCCTTGAAATACATCCACAGGTACACCTCCAATTGACTCAAATGATGTCAATTAGCCTATCAGAAGCTTCTAAAGCCATGACATAATTTTCTGGAATTTTCCAAGATGTTTAAAGGCACAGTCAACTTAGTGTATTTAAACTTCTGACCCACTGGAATTATGATACAGTGAATTGTAAGTGAAATAATCACAAATCAAAAAATTACTAGATGTCCTAACCGACTTGCCAAAACTATAGTTTGTTAACAAGAACTCTGTGGAGTGGTTGAAAAACGAGTTTTAATGACTCCAACCTAAGTGTATGTAAACTTCCGACTTCAACTGTATGTACATCACTGGTTAGAGGACAACTTGTAGAAGACAGCAAGCTACATTTTGGATTGTTGCATTTTGTTTAAAGTGGGTCGCCAACACGGAAAGATAAACGCAAATCTATTTTGTCAATCACTCATATCGATATAAATTTGAAATCAATAGAGTGGGGGCAAACGTTTGGGGTGTATGCACTATTTAAACTAACACTATTCAAAGGCCACACTGAATCTGAGAATTAAGCAATAAGGCCCGAGGAGGTGTGGTATATGGCCAATATAGGCGTAGTTGTGAGGCCAGCGACTTTTATACAGAGCGCGCCCTGAATTTTCCCTGCCATTGGAGTTTGAAAATGATTGAATTCTAAGTCCTAAGACCGCCAGCGCATATGACAAAATCAACAGTACAAAACGAATGATAATGATCTGTTTTAAGCAATGGATTTGATGTCATCGTGATTACTATTAATGTTTATTCTAACATCACCAATCTGAGGTAAAAAAGTTGTGCAATTACCCTCAATTCGATGTGGTCAAAACATGACGGGACCGCAGTGGAGAAGGTGGAAAGCTTCAAGTTCCTTGGCTCACTGACAAACTGAAATGGTCCACCCATGCAGACAGTGAGGCTGAAGAAATTTGTCTTGGCACCTAAAACCCTCACAAACATTTACGGATGCACAATTGAGAGCATCCTGTCGGGCTGTATCACCGCCTGGTACGGCAACTGCACTGCCCGCAACCGCAGTGCTCTCCAGAGGGTGGTGCGGTCTGCCGAACGCATTACCGGGGGCAACTACCCGCCCTCCAAGACACATACAGCACCCGATGTCACAGGAAGGCCAAAAAGATAATCAAGGACATCAACCACCCGAGCCACTGTCTGTTCACCCCGCTATCACCCAGAAGGCAAGGTCAGTACAGGTGCATCAAAGCTGGGACCGAGAGAATGAAAAACAGCTTCTATCTCAAGGCCATCAGACTGTTAAATAGCCATCACTAGCACATTAGAGGCTGCTGCTGCCTATTGAAATCACTGGCCACTTTAAGAAATGGAACACCAGTCACTTTAATAATGTTTACATATCTTGCACTACTCATCTCATATGTATATACTGTATTCTATTCTATAATATTCTACTGTATCTTGGTCCATGCCGCTCTGTCATTGCTTGTCCATATATGTATATAATCTTAAATTCCATTCCTTACCAGATTTGTGTGTATTGGGTATATGTTGTGAAATTGTTAGATATTACTTGTTAGATATTACTGCACTGTCGGAGCTAGAAGCACAAGCATTTCGCTACACCCGCAATAACATCTGCTAAACACGTGTATGTGACAAATACAATGTGATTTGATTTGATTTGATGAGGTTGTGTAATGTAATAACACATACTGTCCACGTACAGGGAATTAGTACAATATAAAATGATCTAATATGTAAAAATAAATCAACATTAAAAATTTTGGCTTATAGTTTTCACATATATTTCTTGCTATTTTAACCATTTACAGAGTAAAAAAATACATATTATGCACAATTTAAGCGGGCGCTCTAGAAAGAGCTCCCCGTCTCCCTGCCTACTTATTATAACCTGTCATAGTCATAGTATTGATATTATTCTATTCATTGTTATTTCAGACCACATCTGAATTATACAGGCTATTATGCAACATGCTTTCACTTGTGATCAATTATGAAAGATAGTATAAAAACTACAGTTCTTTGGGCTGGGTTACAGTGTCTCTGCTTGACAGAATGAAAGAAAATAGAAGAGGATCATCACTCACTAGAAGACAGAATAATGAGGATGAAAGCTATTCACCAAGTAAGTGCCAGAAATATGGGCTATTCAGAAACTCATTTGCATAGAAATAGAGGGACAGTACCCAATAGTCAAACAGTGATTAGTTAGAAAAATATGTTCTACTGTATATTAAGAGAAAGGTTGAGTGTGTGTGTGTGTGTGTGTCTACAGTGCATGCCTATGTGTTACCTATATTTAAGTACAGTAAGGTAGAGATGACATGGGGGTCTTACCGAAGGTGGTGCCAGACTCGGGTCGGGACACGGAGGAGACGATGACGAATCCAAAGCCCTCGTTCTCCCCGCGGTGGATCTCCACGTCGTAGGGCTGCAGGGCCGTGTTGACCACAGCACTCCCTGAGCCCCCGCCGCCCCCGCTGCCGATGCCACTGGTGGAGCCGCTGCCGGAGCCGCTGCCAGAGCTGACCGTGTTGAGGGAGTTCTGGCTACCCTGGGGGGTCCGCTTCCCCTCAGTCAGGGAGGGGGCCTGGGTGCTGCTGTGGTGGGACGAGGCTGGGGACGGGGGCACCTCGCCCTCCCCTTTAGACACTGAGTAAGTAGAGGAGAGAAAATATATTAACTCTGTCAGACTGACAAGAAGCAAACTATTACCAACATGGACAATCCTCTCTACCCATGCAGCCAGGCATAATCTCACCGGTAGAAGGAAGAAGGTCTACAGGGAACATGCTGCTCTAACTGCCACGCTTTGATCTATTCCTCCCCAAAACATCTAAAGATATTGCTTCCGGATTGCATCACAACAGAAGGTTCCCATCTTATTTCCTGGCATTGAAGCAGTGCTTCATACTGAGCATCGCCCCTCTGACAGACCATTGTGCCCTCTGTCTGGGTACTCTCATCAATGGCTGGTAGGCAAGCTGGCATGTGGAGGGCGTGGGGGAAGGTTGGAAAAACCTCTTCATCACGTTTATGGACCTTTATTTATCCTGCTGAAGGGCAGAGCCAGGCTGGGCGCGTTGAGCGCCTCTGACAAACGTTTTCCCACACACCCATGGACTGTTAAAGAGCAGCGGGGTGACCCTACAAATATCAGCCCTGTCCTCAGGCCCTTCACTGCTCTGATGAAGACAAATGGAGCCAGGAGCAGTGAATGGCCTCAACGTTACAGCACAGACTGCTGCTGATGGTCCTACTGGACAGACTGCTGTTGATGGTACTACTGCACAAACTGCTGTTGATGGTACTACTGCACATACTGCTGTTGATGGTACTACTGCACAGACTGCTGCTGATGGTACTACTGCACAGACTGCTGTTGATGGTACTACTGCACAGACTGCTGCTGATGGTACTACTGCACAGAATGCTGCTGATGGTACTACTACACATACTGCTGTTGATGGTACTACTGCACAGACTGCTGCTGATGGTACTACTTCACAGACTGCTGCTGATGGTACTACTGCACAGACTGCTGTTGATGGTACTACTGCACAGACTGCTGCTGATGGTACTACTGCACAGACTTCTGTTGATGGTACTACTGCACAGACTGCTGTTGATGGTACTACTGCACAGACTGCTGCTGATGGTCCTACTTCACAGACTGCTGCTGATGGTACTACTGGACAGACTGCTGTTTATGGTAGTGCTGCACAGACTGCTGTTGATGGCACTCCTGTACAGACTGCTGTTGATGGTACTACTGCACATACTGCTGTTGATGGTACTACTGGACAGACTGCTGTTGATGGTACTACTGCACAGACTGCTATTGATGGTACTACTAGACAGACTGCTGCTCATCTTCTGTTGGTGCTATACTTGAAATGGGATCATTCTGAGAAAGATTATCGTATTATGTTCTACGTAGGATTCGATTATTATCATTAAGCATTGTGCACAGAACACAGAATTACTAGCAAAATTACTGGCAGACAGTATCAAATTACGTTGTCTCATTCAAATAGAATGAAACAACATTGTTACCACAGATTTCTCTCCATCTCTTGCTGTTGAAAGACAAGTTCACACAAACCACTCCTGATGCTCATATCACGTAGCTGTTATTTGAAGGTGTTCATTGCAAGTCACTCTGGATAAGAGCGTGTCTAAGTAAAACATAGTGTCCATGTGTAATAGCTGCTGCATTCCCTTACCTCCGTAGCCGGTCTTGCGTCGCACGGTGAGGTTGACGTGGCCCTGCTTGGCGGCCTGCTGCATCAGCTGTACCACCAGCTGGTGAGATTTGCCCATCACTGCCGTGCCGTCCACACAGATGAGCTCATCCCCCGAACGCAGGCGCCCATCTTCGTCCGCTGCCCCGTACTTCACTATGTGCCCTATGTAGATCTGGGGAGAGGAGAGGATGGGAGGGAAGGGGAGAAAAGGAGAGAAAATAAGAGAAAAGGTGAGGACATAAGAGGGGGATGATAGGAGAGGTTGTTGGTCAATCAACAGTACACGGTAAAAGAACATCAAGGTGAGATATTAACGGTTGTTGAAGAACACTCTAGCTCTTAGGTAAGATTTTCTTAGGTAAGAACACTTTCCAGCAGCACCACCGTAACTCAGACTACTCCTGGTCCAGCTAGAAAGCTGGCTAGTACGTCTTCCTCCTCTTTCTCCGCTTGGCTGCACAGCTGGTCTAAATCACTTGTGTGTCATTATTTTCCTTCCTCAAAAGCGGTAAAGACCAGCTTACAAGAACCAACAACTTGGCCTCTTTAAAATAAAATAAAATTGGTATGATATATATTTTTCTCTCTGGTTGAAACTGCAGCAAGGAGATGAAAAACAGAGGAGCCAAGACCACCACCACCACACACAGAACAACACTGCTGCTGAAGTTGATTCAGCTGGCTTCAACAGAGGCGTTTATAACCATCAATTGGTTGGTAAAATATGGCATACAAAGATAGTAAATATATTAACAATATGCTAAATGTACACTACCAGTCAAAAGTTTGGACACACCTACTCATTCAAGGTTTTTATTTTTACATTGTAGAATAATAGTGAAGACATCAAAACTATGAAATAACACATATGGAATCATGTAGTAACCAAAAAAAGTGTTAAACAAATATTTTATATTCGAGATTCTTCAAATAGCCACCCTTTGCCTTGATGACAGCTTTGCACACTCTTGGCATTCTCTCAACCAGCTTCATGAGGGAGTCACCTGGAATGCATTTCAATTAACAGGTGTGACTTCTTAAAAGTTAATTTGTGGAATTTCTTTCCTTCTTAATGCGTTTGAGCCAATCAGTTGTGTTGTGACAAGGTAGGGAGGTATACAGAAAATAGCCCTATTTGGTAAAAGACCAAGTCCATATTATGGCAAGAACAGCGCAAATAAGCAAAGAGAAATGACAGTCGATCATTACTTTAAGACATGAAGGTCAGTCAACACGGAAAATGTCAAGAACTTTGAACGTTTCTTCAAGTGCAATTGCAAAAACCATCAAGCGCTATGATGGAACTGGATCTCATGAGGACCGCCACAGGAAAGGAAGACCCAGAGTTACCTCTGCTGCAGAGGATAAGTTCATTAGAGTTACCAGCCTCAGAAATTACAGCCCAAAGAAATGCTTCACAGAGTTCAAGTAACAGACACATCTCAACATCAACTGTTCAGAGGGGACTGTGTGAATCAGGCCTTCATGGTCAAATTGCTGCAAAAAAAACACTACTAAAGGACACCAATAAGAAGAAGAAACCTGCTTGGGCCAAGAAACACGAGCAATGGACATTAGACCGGTGGAATTTTGTCCTTTGATCTGGAGTACAAATTGGAGATTTTTGGTTCCAACCGCTGTGTCCTTGTCAGACGTAGTGTGGGTGAACGGATGATCTCTGCATGTGTATTTCCCACTGTAAAGCATGGAGGATGGAGGTCTTATGGTGTGGGGGTGCTTTGCTGGTAACACGTCTGTGAAATAATATTTTAGAGTTGCAATGGCACACTTAACCAGCAATGGTCATCACAGCATTCAGGCAGCGATATGCCTATCTGGATTGGCTTAGTGGGAACTAGTCATTTGTTTTTCAACAGGAAATGACACAACAGCGATTTTAATTCGAATCCAAGGAGGGCGATTATTTTATCGCCCCAAGCTCGCCCCTGATAAAATAAGGACCGGGCTCCAGTGGCGCCATTTTTACTAGACGACAATGGTGAGCGCAAACGTTACTCCTCCAAGACCCAACCCTAACTCGGTGAAATCTCTCCTCCAAGATCCGTTTGAGAGGAGAACTTTGTCAGAGAAAGTTCGGGTGAAAGAGCTGGGCCCAGATCAACCTGACCTCTCAATCAGACAGCAGGCTAGCGAGAAAGGGAAGCAGTATATGCGCGGCTTCTCCCGTAGCTGGTACACCAGGAAGGCTTGGCTAGCTGGGTGCACTGATGCTAATGCTTTATTTTGCTTTCCGTGCTTGCTTTTTAAAACGACGGGCCGGACGGGGTCAGATTCAGCATGGACAGGTACCGGAGTGAGGGATATGAAGCACCTGTCAGAGAAGGTAAAGAAACATGAGAACACCAGGGCACACATGGACAACTCTGTAAAGCTAGCTGTATTAGGAAGGGTGAACATTGCTACGCAGCTGGATGACGGCCACAGGATTGCGGTGAGGAAACACAATGAGGAGGTGGATAAAAACAGGCACATTCTATCCAAAATTATCGATTGTGTGAAGTTCTGTGGGGCTTTTGAGTTGGCCTTGCGTGGGCACGAGGAGACTGACTCCTCGGACAACCCCGGCATTTTCCGGGGCTTAGTGGATTTTGTTGCCTCCCTCGACAGTGTGCTGGAGGAGCACCTGAAGACAGCTACCGTTTTTAAGGGCACGTCAAAGACGATACAGAACGAGCTGTTGGAATGTATGCTGTCAGTGCTTAAGGATTACATCCTGGAGGAAGTAAAGAGTGCTGATTTTATCGCCATTCAAGCTGACGAGACGACTGACGTTTCCACCCACTAACGTGTTTCCAGACCATCAGAGACTCTGGGAACTTTGATGCCCCGACTGTCAGAGAGGCGGGGGGCTTTGTGAGGATGCTCGAAGACGAGGCTTTCTGTTTTTTCCTGGCACTGTTCCACAAGATCATGCCAAATGTGGACATGCTTTTCAGCCAGCTGCAGAAGAGGAACATCGACCCTGTCTTCATTAAAGCACTTGTCCAGAGGTTCACAGACAGCATGCTAACAATCAGGTAAATAACTATATTTACTATTGGCTGATAAAGATGTTGTTAGAAAGATGAATAGTTCACTTACAACAGTTTAAAAGCCTAAATGTGTCTGGTCATCAAAGTGAGTGATTATCATAGAGCCGTCACAATTATATTTGTTTTAGTATTTTAAAAGGAAAGAGAAGACACAATCAGACGTTGATAATAATGCAGGAAAGTACTACACAGTTTGTAATAATTATTCAGGTGTCCACCAGGTCAATTTCTAGAAGAGGCCTAGTTGTTATTGAAGATTAACATTATTTTTAAGTACACAGCAGACCAAAATTATGTTGCATTAAAACGTAATAACATCAGTTAATTATGTACATCACAGGTTAAAAGCAGTTACTAGACATAGTTTGTGTGTATATACACACTATCTGTCTGTCTGTCTGTCTGTCTATATATATATATATATATATAAAATTCCTGTACAAATAAGATGACAGACACACACACACAGAGCAGCTCTGGCCGCATGTTTCTTTGTATATAGTTGACCTTAGCATAAAAAATCCAGTTATATATGGTACTCTAGAAAGTCTTAATAGTGTCTTTGCTAATATTACTGTATATATGTTGTTTTGTATCAATTAATTGTTGCAGTTCTGGAGCACATTAACAATTAGTCACATTTAGTATGATCATAAAATACTGTATGCTATTCTTCCAGTCAAAGGTTTGAGTTCAACCACTTGATATCCATTTCTATATTATACATCCTTTTATACAGTGTAAGATTTCCTATAAACTTTATAATAATTTCATGTTATTGTCCACTTTCCACTCTGTTCTGACAGCATGCCTGTTGCGTTGCCTGTTTACTACCAATGGTGAAAAGTTCACTTTAAATGCAAATGAAAGGCTTGGGTTTGTGTAATATGTTTTTGTGTAAGAATGCCTCAACTTTTTAATATTGGCATTAAATAATTACTGAATGTTTCACTGAGCACTGCTTTCCTGCAGTTTGTGTTAAAATATATCGCGATGGTTACAGGAAAAAAAAAGTATGGCACAGCCCCACCGAGAATATTTTTCACCAGCCGCCACTGGACACAACACACCTCCAGGCTGTGTAAGGGCTATTTTACCAAGAAGGAGAGTGATGGAGCGCTGCATCAGATGACCTGGCCTCCACAATCCCCCGACCTCAACCCAATTGAGATGGTTTGGGATGAGTCGGACGGCAGAGTGAAGGAAAAGCAGCCAACAAGTGCTCAGCATATGTGGGAACACCTTCAAGACTGTTAGAAAAGCATTCCAGGTGAAGCTGGTTGAGAGAATGCTGAGAGTGTGCAAAGCTGTCATCAAGGCAAAGGGTGGCTATTTGAAGAATCTCAAATATAAAATATATTTTGATTTGTTTAACACTTTTTTGGTTACTACATGATTCCATATGTGTTATTTCATAGTTTTGATGTCTTCACTATTATTCTACAATGTAGAAAATAGTAAAAATAAAGAAAAACCCTGGAATGAGTAGGTGTGTCCAAACTTTAGACTGGTACTGTATGTGCTAATAAACTGAAAACTCGCATAATAAGTGTCCAAGCCATGATTAATAACTTACAGTGCCTTCGGAAAAGTATTCAGACCCATTTACTTTTTCTAAATGTTTTTACGTTACAGCCTTATTCTGAAATGGATTACAAAATAAATAAATCTCAGCAATCTACACACAATACCCCATAATGACAAAGCAAAAACAATATTTTTTGAAAGTTTTGCAAATGTATTACAAATTAAAAGATTAAAAGATGAATGGAGTAAAGTACAGAGAGATCCTTGATGAAAACCTGCTCCAGAGCGCTCAGGACCTCAGACTAGGGCGAAGGTTCACCTTCCAACAGGACAATGACCCTAAGCACACAGCCAAGACAACGCAGGAGTGGCTTCGGGACAAGTCTCTGAATGTCCTTGAGTGGTCCAACCAGAGCCCAGACTTGAACCCAATCGAACATCTCTGGAGAGACCTGAAAATAGCCGTGCAGCAACGCTCCCTGTCCAACCTGACAGAGCTTGAGAGGATCTGCAGAGAAGAATAGAAGAAACTCCCCAAATACAGGTGTGCCAAGCTTGTAGCGTCATACCCAAGAAGACTCGATGCTGTAATCGCTGCCAAAGGTGCTTCAACAAAGTACTGAGTAAAGGGTCTGAATACTTATGTAACTGTAATATTTCAGTTTTTTATTTTCAATAAATTAGCAAAATGTTATATATTTTATGCTTTGTCATTATAGGGTATTTTGTGTAGATTGATGAGGGGAAAAAACTATTTAGAAAATGTTAGAATAAGGCTGTAACGTAACATGTGGAAAAAGTCAAGGGGTCTGAATACTTTCCGAAGGCACTGTATGAGGGAAAACAACTATTACAACATTTTAGAATAAGGCTGTAACGTAACAAAATTTGGAAAAAGTTAAGGGGTCTGAATCGTTTCAACTGAATTAAAAATAAAACCTCCTGAGAGGATAGATATATATATATACACTGAGCAGTGATGTTGGTGTGCGGTTGAATCCTCCAACTCACCGGTTCTCCTGGCTCGTTCCCTCCCAGGATCCTGAACCCGTAGCCTGTGTCCTTTCTCCACAGGAAGATGTCCTGCTCCTGAAAGTCAGGCACTGCAACCAGAGAACCATCCATCAGCATCGATCACTACATCCTGGATCATTACATCAGAACCCACACAGTGTAACCCCTCCCCCTGTTCCTCTCAGAGGAGAGTGGAGGCAGAGGGCTGGAGGAGATGGAGGGGGGGAGCTGAAGATGTCATGGCCTTAATGAGCACACAGCACACCTGCGGCTCCTTGTGAATCAGGTCAGTGGTCCATGCCTCTCTCAGCCTCTTACTGTAGCCTCTACACTACACCACTGCCTCTTCCTCTATAGCCAGATAATACTGAGTAAAAACATTACCCTGCGGAATGTGTAAATATCTAATAACGTTCTATCAAAAGAAAATAGATATATTCCAAGATACTCCCAAAATAATTTTTTAACTCCATTCAAAGCAAGAGAGGAAAGGGCCGAGAGAATCCCCTAAGTAAGTACTTTATCAAAGTTGTATAATTAGGATTTCTTTGAATACTATCCTTTCAGATGTCTTTGAAGACAAAATCCTTCTTTACTTTGTCTCATCAACCTCGGTAGGTAGGTAGGTAACAGGGAACTGGACTGGGAGCAACCCTCACCAGTCTCTCCATAGCAGTGCTGCTCCTCAGGCTCAGACAGGAACCCCTGGCTGCCTGGAGGAGATCTGAGCAGGAGGGAAGGGGGTGCCAGCCCAATACTGGAGCTGTCAGAGGCACCATGTTGCTATGTAGTGGTGCACTGCAGCGACTGACAGCTTATGGTTCATGTAACACTTGAGGTGGGCAGACCACAGGGGAACAGGGTTCAAGCAACAGCCTGGAGCTGTGTGTGTGTGTGTGTCTGTGTCTGTGTGTGTGTGTGTGTGTGTGCTTGTGTGTGTGTCCATGCGTTCAGCCTCCCAAGGGATACCCCATGTTACAGTACAGACCTCAACAGCTAAAGCCACTAACAGCCAGCAGGGGGAGGAGGGAAAGAGACCAGCTTGGCTGCAATCTGTTCCAGAGTCAACAGAAGAGCTCACAGTCTTAAGCTAGCTAGCTCTCTTTCTACCCACTGGGACTCTGGGTAGGGCTGAGATGGGCAGGTCACAGGCTAACTGTCTCAATCTTCTTGTTCATAAGGGTTGGCCCCAACTAGCCACTGGGCAGCTTATCAGATCAATACAGCAGCTCAACATCGAAAACAACTGTCTAGAAACAGATCCATACTAAACAAAGGTTAGTCATTCTGCCCTAGCTCAGACTGACCCTGGTGAACAAGCAGATTAACTTAAGATCAGGAAAAGGAGATGGGGGGGGGGGGGGACATCAAGCACGGTCAAATCTTCCCAGCTCATCTAATCTGCTGTGCTCTGGTTTGGGAAACGCTCACAGAGTGGTCGCCAAATGGTGCATTTACAGCCTCAACCCTCCCAGGCTTTGATTTCAGAATCAATCAATCACAACAGTAATGATGCCCAGAGATATCTGCACACTGGCCAAACCTGGCCTTAACAGGGTCTGAGCAAATCCTCTATCCAGAGCAGTGTATTTACACCTGGTAATACAACTCTGTCTCTCTACACTGCCTCCCCATCTCCCCCCCTGTGCTGAATAAAGCTGAGCTGACTACACAATCCCCCCTTTTGTTCCTAGTTCCTTTAGAATTCTACACCCATCCATGGAGCCAACTCTGGCAGTACCGAACCCAGCTCCTTTCCCTTTAAGGCCTCTAAATAATGAAAGACCTTGATGAAAGCAGGAGCACCAGAGAAATGATTAGGCGTTGAACCCTCTGGACCCTGGAAGCCTCTACTCCTCGGAGGGCGACTGACAGGGGCTGAGTAATATTCCTGTTAATTGAGGAGGCTAGCACCCGTTAGCCTCACCAGATTACCAGGAAATATGGGAGCCACTGTCCTCTACCACCACCGCCAATTATATGCACATTTGTCTGGAGCTGTTCTAAAGAGCAGTGTAGCGTGGTAATGTAGTGGCTACAGGGAGTGTAATTGAGCCGAGGTACCAAGCAGGCAGCATGGACAGAGAGACTTTGTCAGTGTGTAGGAAGACTTCTCTCTTCAGTGTTCCTAGGAGAGAAACACACTCTATGGTCAAGGTTCAGTAGATCAGGAGTGTGGTTAGCACCAACTCTTCTTAGAGTCTGTTGTTATTGCTCTCACTACCATTTTTCTACCCAACTGCCACAATACTCTGCAAACAGTTCACATCCCTTACCCACCAAGTTAACACCCACTTTAGGTCAAAACACTGAAAGAGAACAGAAAACTTTCAGACAATATGTTTTGGGCAATGAGTATGTTGACTTTAGGGGACTGATGCTTCTCAAAGGTTAAATGACTTACATGCATGCAGGTTATGAAAATGTATGCATTCACTAACTGTAAGTCGCTCTGGATAAGAGCGTCTGCTAAATGACTAAAATGTAAATGTAAAAATCTTATCTCCGGTCACCAGCCCTAGATTGCAGTACCAACCCAACAGGACAGGGGGAGCCCCCAAGCAAACACCCATGCACCCTCGCACCAAAAATAAATACTTACCCCTACTTTCATACATGCTCCTGGACTGGGCCCAGATCTTGAAGGGGTCCGGTTTCCTGTGAATGGTCCCGTCTGCCTGGGGGTCCTGGGGAGGCAGGCCGGGCAGAGGCTGGGAGGGGGGTGGAGGGGCGGTACTCTCGCTGAGAGGGGGGGCCAGGGACGTGTGCACAGGGGAGTCAGTGTGGGTACTCCGGTGGCTGGACACAGAACTGTTCTGACTGTCCTTCCTCACTAACTGCTGTATGAAGGAGAGCGAGAGAGGGGGAGAAAGAGGAAGATGGGGAGAAGGAGGGAGATGGGGAGAAGGAGGGAGATTGGGAGAGAAAGGTAGAGAAGGAAAAGATGGATGGTCAGAAAGAGAGATATCAAGTAAGAAGGAGAGGGATAGAAGGAGTAGGATAGAGTGGTGAAGAGAAAGGGAAATCATTAACAACATATTATGAAGTGAGACAAAATACCACATCTTTAATCAAGGCCAGTGATGTCAACCAGAAACACATTCTCTAACAATACCCAAAGCATAATCAAGCAGATTTGTTCATGAGATGTATTTTTGAGAAAGTGAAAAATTCACTGTAGTTTCACATAGAGAAATAAAGTCACACAAACAGAGCTCGGCTGACAAAAGTACATAGTTTATTCCTTTTGTTCAACACAGAGCTGAATACATTAATGGCAAGCCCTATTGCCCGATGCATGAGGAGACATTCAGAGCACATAGCAGTGAGGAGGGTGTTTCACTGAAGGGAGAATACATCTAGGAGGGGAAAACACAGCATGCAGCACACATTCCTCCACCATACAACACAGAGAGAGCACACATGCAGCTTCCCCCCAAGAGATACAGGGAGAGGGTAACATAGACTGACAGTGGTCCAGTCTCTAGCCATCACATGACTTCTCCATACTCTACATGGGGCACAGAAATACGAAGAAGAGCTGGGCCATTCTCAAACATCAACCCTACACTTGGACCACAAGCTTGGAACGTTTCTCCAATCAGGGTAGACCAAAGGTTAAACTAGTCATCAGAATAATAACACAATATTTGTATTTAATTCGTGTCAATTCGGCAGGTCTAAAATGTCTACTAGAATCACCCTGCTTTATATTTTCCTCAAGGCTGGCCTAATGCACTAGTCTATTTCCCTAGAATTCATTAAGCCAAGAGAACACAAGAGCATGGCATAGAGAATGAAAAAAAATCCAGGAGCAGCCTTGCTCTGCCTACCAATGGATCAACATTATCAAGCAGCAAAAATACTTTCACCCAACACAACATTATCACCCACCTAGCATAACATGATCAGTCGGCACATTATTCCGACCCAGCGCACGGGGCATCAAAGCTCTCATCAGGACCAAAACACAGCGAGAGTCCTGACAGAGAAAATCCCTCACCGCTCTGTGATGCTCCACACCAATCAAAATTAGCACTCCACACAGGAGAGTGGAGAGAGAGGGATGGATGGTAGGATGGGGGAGATATAGATCATATCGGTACTCACCAGCCTTGGGCTCTTCTTTGCAGGTGCCACCCCTGGGAAGCAATATCCAGATCGAGATGAAGAGACAAAAGTGAAAGAGAGATAAAAATGGTTAACGACACAAAAATATTTTACCTTCACCACAGGTAAAAAAGAAGAAACAAACAGTGTTGAGAAGATGGGGAACTCCAAACAGGGACTCCATTGGTGCAGCAGTGCTCGCCTGCTCAAGTTATCTTCTCCCTCTCTTTCTCTGCCTCGTTCCCTCACATCCACGCTCCCACGCGCTGTGTTAAAGGGGGCAGCACGATCTATCTGCATTAGCAGGCAGCTGACTGCTGCAGCGGAAGAGGGGACAACCCCAAGGGCTAACCAAGCGCTCCGCTCACTAGACCCTGCCTAACCCACTGTCAGAAAGAACAAAAGAGTGTGAGAGAGAGAGAGAGAGACAGACAGACAAAGGGGTAGAAAGAGAGAGAGGCAGTTCTGAGCTAACTCAACTGTCATACCCATGGAGAAGGAGTCCAAGATACTGAACATTAAATTATAGGCAACCGTCAGTTCCCCTCTTACTGAGACCATCTTCCTGTGTCCGTTCAGCACGCCGCTCGGCTGATGAAGGCTCCAGCATCTAGAGACAGTCACACCGCTCTTCTCCGGTCTCTCTCTCTCTCTCTCTCTCTCTCTCTCTAGCGCTCACTTTTCTCTCCCACTGCTCTTTTCCCCCCTCCCCCTCCTCTATTTGCTGTGCATCACTCTACCTCCCTCCCTCTATCTTGATTTTCCCCCCTCACCATCCCTCCCCTTCACCCACATGCTAGTAAACATGCATGCACACACACACACACTCCGCTCTTTCCATTCCTCTCTCATCAATCGGAGGCAGACTCTGACAGGCAGGGCCTGCATAAATTATATGTTCATATATTAATAGAGACCCACACTGACAGGAATATCATTAGAGCCTCAAACATGAACACAAACAGAGAGTAATGGAAGACTAAAATGGAAACATAGCCTAGATCCTCGGAGGGCCTAACTTCTTCCTCCCCCTTCTGCACAGGGTGAAAAACAGCTGCACGATGCCACAGCAACAGGGTGTGTGTGTGTACACGTGCATAATGGTATGTATTCAGTGTGTAAGAGCCAGGATTGGATTGGAGGGAGCATGTAGCTCTGATCCTGACAGTATTCTGTGTCAATCCTTTAGGGAGATCTGGGGGATTGGAATGGAGTAGGCAGTTCCTTATGGCTCTTATCCCCTCAACATCTGTATTCAACAGCCACTGAAATGTGGTCCACAGTCCAGCCACCTCTACAGCATGTTCCCCGATCCCTACTCTGCTCATCTAAACAAATCTCTACCTGCTCCCCTCCACTATACCCCTCGATTCCCAGCGTATCACAGCCACCCCCGACTCCAATCCCTGAACCCCATTTGACCCCCAGCCCAGTCTGTGTTTTTGTTCTTGATTATCCTGTGTATTACATATAATCTGCCTCTGTAGTCTGTCAGTCTGTTGCACGATGTCACATTGGCTACTCTGGATGGTCATTAAAACTTCAAATAGTCTGCAGCAAAACAGCCTTTTCTTTCCATCTCATCTCCCCTCAACCTTCCCCCACACCATCCCTTCCTTCTCACCCTCTCTCAGCCCTCTCCTCAAATTATTTACACTATTATTTACTGTAGCTGACATCACTCTAAAAATACCAGAGGATTGGGAGGGGAAGCCATACAGTTCCTGAAATAGCAGCACTGAGCTTCAACAGACCTTGGGAATAATGATCCAATGTATAGCCTGCCCAGGAGTCAGACACAGAGACAGGTTAGGGGTGTCTTATTGATGCAGTGTACAGCATCATCCACCCCCCATTTCTTAATTACACACAGGGCGACACGCATGGCTGGTTCTCACACTGATGGACTGAGCAGGAGAGAGAAAACACAGCCCTGTTTAACATAAGGACTTAGGTTAATGATCAGCCATGGTTGTTTTCACCTGAAACAGCATGCCTTCTATTTATAAACTACCGCAACATGTCATTTATTAATTTGACATTTTGTTGATGCCATAATGCCACTTCAGTTGAAGCCCTCTGCCCTCATGAAGGTTGTAGTGGTAACTATGTTGATTCCCCCACAGAGAGAGGCTGCTCCGTTCAGTCAGAGGGTGCTGGCCACATCGGTTGCTAAACAGAGACCATCACTGAGGAGATTATTATGTCCCATTATTATGACCAATGCAGGGATTTATTTACCCAGGGGCACGAATGGATAGGAGATGGGATTGAAAGTGACATACAGTGGGGAGAACAAGTATTTGATACACTGCCGATTTTGCAGGTTTTCCTATTTACAAAGCATGTAGAGGTCTGTAATTTTTAACATAGGTACACTTCAACTGTGAGAGACGGAATCTCACATTCTATGATTTTTAAGTAATTAATTTGCATTTTATTGCATGACATAAGTATTTGATACATCAGAAAAGCAGAACTTAATATTTGGTACAGAAACCTTTGTTTGCAATTACAGAGATCATACGTTTCCTGTAGGTCTTGACCAGGTTTGCACACACTGCAGCAGGGATTTTGGCCCACTCCTCCATACAGACCTTCTCCAGATCCTTCAGGTTTCGGGGCTGTCGCTGGGCAATACGGACTTTCAGCTCCCTCCAAAGATTTTCTATTGGGTTCAGGTCTGGAGACTGGCTAGGCCACTCTAGGACCTTGAGATGCTTCTTACGGAGCCACTCCTTAGTTGCCCTGGCTGTGTGTTTCGGGTCGTTGTCATGCTGGAAGACCCAGCCACGACCCATCTTCAATGCTCTTACTGAGGGAAGGAGGTTGTTGGCCAAGATCTCGCGATACATGGCCCCATCCATCCTCCCCTCAATACGGTGCAGTCGTCCTGTCCCCTTTGCAGAAAAGCATCCCCAAAGAATGATGTTTCCACCTCCATGCTTCACGGTTGGGATGGTGTTCTTGGGGTTGTACTCATCCTTCTTCTTCCTCCAAACACGGCGAGTGGAGTTTAGACCAAAAAGCTCTATTTTTGTCTCATCAGACCACATTACCTTCTCCCATTCCTCCTCTGGATCATCCAGATGGTCATTGGCAAACTTCAGACGGGCCTGGACATGTGCTGGCTTGAGCAGGGGGACCTTGCGTGCGCTGCAGGATTTTAATCCATGACGGCGTAGTGTGTTACTAATGGTTTTCTTTGAGACTGTGGTCCCAGCTCTCTTCAGGTAATTGACCAGGTCCTGCCGTGTAGTTCTGGGCTGATCCCTCACCTTCCTCATGATCATTGATGCCCCACGAGGTGAGATCTTGCATAGAGCCCCAGACCGAGGGTGATTGACCGTCTTGAACTTCTTCCATTTTCTAATAATTGCGCCAACAGTTGTTGCCTTCTCACCAAGCTGCTTGCCTATTGTCCTGTAGCCCATCCCAGCCTTGTGCAGGTCTACAATTTTATCCCTGATGTCCTTACACAGCTCTCTGGTCTTGGCCATTGTGGAGAGGTTGGAGTCTGTTTGATTGAGTGTGTGGACAGGTGTCTTTTATACAGGTAATGAGTTCAAACAGGTGCCGTTAATACAGGTAATGAGTGGAGAACAGGAGGGCTTCTTAAAGAAAAACTAACAGGTCTGTGAGAGCCGGAATTCTTACTGGTTGGTAGGTGATCAAATACTTATGTCATGCAATAAAATGCAAATTAATTATTTAAAAATCATACAATGTGATTTTCTGGATTTTTGTTTTAGATTCCATCTCTCACAGTTGAAGTGTACCTATGATAGACCTCTACATGCTTTGTAAGTAGGAAAACATGCAAAATCAGCAGTGTATCAAATACTTGTTCTCCTCACTGTAGGTGCAACTCCAGTCTTGTGAAATGGCAAAGGTGACCAGGAAAAGGTGCAGATGTTAGCAACCTGGTCTTTTAATCACACACCCACAGGAAAGAGAAAGCATCCTGTGTTACAGTAATACAATGTTTCCATGTTTTGTCTGTGAGAGGCTTATGCAGTAGCTTACGATGCTGAGCAGAAATGACAATTGGAAGTGGTTTTGTCCTTTTGTCAGTCCTGTCCCTCCTGGCATTTAGAGAGAATAGGATGAGTGGTGACCCACTCCCTACCTACCCACACACACACACACACACACACACACACACACACCACCCACCGGTAGAGGAGCCCCACTGCAGAGTGCTGCACAGTATTGTCATGGAAACAAAGGAAGGCAAGATGGCTGGTGTGAAGAGACAGGGAGGAGGGGGAGAAGGAGGAGGGGGACTCACCTTGTCCTTGTTACGCCAGTGACTGTGACTCACCCATAAACAAAGCCAGTCGCCCAAAAGCGCTGTGGCGGAATTTGGACGCATTGCGTCGCCAAGCTGCTGCCACTTTATTCCTTGATCATTGCATTTCTCTAAAATTTCTCTGCAATGCCGTTCGTTATCAGCCCTGAATGTGAAGTCAGCTAATTTTTATGCAAAGCGTGCAAAAAGGTGCAGCATCCAGCCCTTACATTAAATCAATTCCTTTTGTCTGTGTGACCCCATCGTTGCCGTTTATCTCAGGTTGGGTGTGTTTGTGTCTTGTCAGAAGACACTGAACTGTGTTAATGTGACAGGAGCAGCGTTTACAAAGTCTGCACTCCACTCTAAGCGGCAGAACATCTACAGCAGAGTGGAGATAAGAGATGTCTCCTTCCTATGGCTGCTCTTCTACAACAACCCAACGCTGAGCAGAAACAACTGTCTTACACTCTGTTCTGTCGGAGAGGAACAGTCCATCACTCTCCACGGCACATAAAGCGCAGGGAGAAGACACAGAGGAAAGAGAAGTATTGGCTAGAATATTAGCCTTGTTGGACATTAGTGATCTTAGAACCCTCTTAATGAGACACAAAACATCTAAAAAACATAGACAACAGCATCTGCAACAGCATCTGCAGGTGTAGACTTCATTGGTCATTTTGCTTCAGACCAATAGCAGAAAGCAACAGCGTAGTAGTGGATATATAGGTAAATCAGGGTTCTTCTTTGGGATTTGGTTGACAGATCGCATCCAACTTTTAGGTGCATATACCACCAACTACTGCACTGGTGTCTGAGGCCATTCACAGCCTATCTACATTAAATTCTTTGATACGGTAATACAAAATTGGGAAAAGGGAAAATTGCCCTGCCAACTAATAGCCCTCTCTAAAAAAAAAAACACCACCCCCTTCCACTATTTAACCCTATCTAGTCTTACTCCAGACCAATGGTCTGAGAGGACATAACACTACCACTTAACACCCCCTGCAGTTGTTCTGCAGTAAATCCTCGCAATCCCAAGTACTTCTCTGCCGCTGCCACCACAACTTCTATTTTCGGTGACTTTCGATCCATTTCTGCAGTACAGTTGACAACCATGGCTATAAATGCTAAAAAGCCCACCTTACTGAAGCACATATTCTTCCCGTCACGCTGTCTTGGTCTCTGCCTACTCAAAGGAATCCTCTCAGGATCTCTCACCCTGTACCCATCTTCCTCTACCATTCTCTTCACTGCTTTGGCATACGACACTTTCTGTACAACTCTAACCCTGGCAACCTCAAACTGCCTTTCTC